ATACTACCAGGCAATTTATCATGGCCAATCCACCCAACCTGCACATCTTTGGACTGTGGGAGGAAACCAGAGGAAACCCACGCAGACATGTGGAGAATGTGCAAACTCCACACATATAGTCATCCAAGGCTGGAATCAAACCCTGGGTCCCTGTCGCTGTGAGACAGCAGGGCTAACCACTGAGTGACTGTGCCACCCATAGAATATGTTCTCTCCAAGGATAGGAACATCCATAACCATTTACTACGGAGAGCTGTTGAGGGTGGGTCATTAAGAATATTCAAAATTGAGATAGATTTTTAATCAGTAAGACAATCAAAGGTTATGAGGAAAAGACAGGAAAGTGAAGGTAAAGATTACTAGATCAGCCACAATCTTATTCAATTGTGGAAAAGATGTGGTGGGTCAAAAGGCCTACTTCTGCTCCAATGTCTTATGGCTTCATGGTCTATAGTCTCATCATTGCCCCCCAATAAACTGTGACACAGAAAAGCATTTGAAGGTAAAGTAGAAAGTGCAAACAATGTTATCTAAAGTTATACAAATCTCTTTCAATTTACATTAAAATAGGGTATCATATTAGGATCTAGTTAAACTTATGTAATATTTGAGCAAAAATACATTAAGTTTTCCTTGTTAAAGTTAATTTAGAGATGGTACACATAATGATAACATGAAATGGCCATTACTGTTTACAGTAGATTCACTGTCTACTAAGAGGCAAGCCACAGTCAAAATATGCATATTAGTTCATTGAGAAATAGGATATTACATTGTCATCATCAATTCAGTATTTTTAAACATAAAATATATCCATCACCAATTCATGATGACCAAAAATATCTGTCTCCTGTCACTATTTTATATTAGCATTAAGTAGTCCATCTCTTTCTTTCAAGTAGAAATGAAAATATGCCATCCCAAACATTGGTACTATCTTGTCAGCTTGACTGAGCTGCAACCAGTTTCACATTGAATCAGAGGATCTTGGGTTCTAGTCTCTTTCCAAGATCTGAGAAAGTGACCTAGGTATGGTATCAGAATATTGTATTAATGAAGGTGATGACTTTTAGATAAGATGTTAAATGAAAGCTAGCTTTATTTCTTTGGACATATTTAATAGAGTTAATAATACCAGTTAAAAAAAATGGGAATTTGACCTTCATCCAAAAAGATATTAATTGGTTAATTACATCACCTATGGGACTTTGTGCACAAATTGACAGCTCTGTTTGCCTACATAACAAGAGTGAATACACTTGAGTAATATTTGGCTATGCTTTATGATAAGAATATGAGGAATATGAATAAAGTTCTTTCTTTACAAATTTTGAGTTCCTTGAACTCTTCTAAAATTTTATGTTTTTTTTTTCTATTTGATAAGTTATCTGAATGTAAGAGCATGAGAAATTAAATAAAAGGCTCTACACACCTTTTGTGTCATTAGATAAGATTCTGGTTTATTCTCTATGTCAAGTTCTCTTTCTGTCGAATCTCCATATCTTTTGATTCACTTAGAGTCCAAGGAATCTTACCAAACTCATCTTAACTGAGCATCCACAACATTCTGAGGTAGTGACCTCCAAGCATTCACAACCATCTAAGTGCTGAGATTACTTCTCATCTCAGGTCTGAGTCTACGAATCAGTTCTATATGGCCAACCCAATATTCTAAAACAATGTCCCCTAGTCCTAAACATTTCAGCCATGGGAAAGAGCTTTTTAGCATCAACCCTGTCAAACTTTATCACAGTCTTAAAATGTTAGTTCATCTTTGATTCTTTGAAAGTTCAGAGTATTTCTTTGATTTTTGCTATTTGTCAAGATCAATATCAAAAGCATGCCATGGCCAGGAAAATGTGCAGTTAGCTGTTTAAATGATGAAGGATGTACAGTATCAAAGGAGTAAGTAACCCTGGTATTCATATATTTGCCACTCTAAATAGAGTTTCAGAGTAAATGACAGGGATCAATGTCCTTTTGGAACTGTTGCCAATAATAGCACTTCACATTGTTGCTGAGGTTAATTTTGAACACATAAACAGAGTAAGTTTATCCAGAGGACTGTGGCATCCCATAAATTATGTACTGTTACAAAGTGATAAACATGCCACAGTATATTGACCTCATTTCCTCTTAAACATATGATTAATTATGTCACTGCAAAAAAATGATTTCTTAATCATGAGGCTATATTAAATATCCTCTCATTACCCATATCTCCTAGTACCAAGATGTTTTTCATCATTGATTGGTATCTTTTGAAATTGGTGCAGTGCTAAATTAGCCCTTAAGCACTCATTGTAAAACAATTAAATATACAAACTGTTTTTACCATTATGAACAAGTTCCTTATTTTGTTTTATTCAATTTCCCAATTTCCTAGTGCAACAAAAACTTATCTCTTTCTTATGAAACAGTGTCTGCATTCTGCCTGCTTTCTAATATGAACGGTATAATAAGCAGATGCACATAGACAATCTCCTTACAGGAAAATGATGTGAAGTAGTTTCCAATGGTGCTATGCTCTCTGGATTCTGACAAAGTAGTAGACATTGTGGCTGACAATAAAAATTTACATTTAAATTGTGGATTTAATTGTGATCATGATTGATTATGATCGTGATTTTGAATTGTTTACATGATTGTAATCAAACAAAAAAAACATAAAAGGGGATATTAGGATAGGTGACTTAAAACTTGGATAAGTGGATAGATTTTAAGCAGGATCTTAAAGGTTTAGAGACATGGAGGTTTAAGGTGTCAGTCTAGAGCTTAAAGCCAAAGGTTTGAAATCACAGCTGTCAATGGTAACGTAAAGGGAATGGGTGATCCACAAAAGGCTAGAACTGGAGAAATTGAGTGTCTTCGAGATTTGCACAGAGGAAGTTATAAAGATTGTAGGGAATGTGGGCATTAACATTGGTGAACACTGAGATGAGTATTTTAAAATTAAAGTCTTGGTAGACCAGGGGTCAATTTAGGTCAATAAGCACAGGGATGATGAGTAAGTGGATCTTAATAAATGTTAGGCTGTAGGTAGCAAAACTTTGGATAATTTCAAGTTTATAGAGGACAAGAAATGGGAGGATGGCAAAATGTACATTGAGATAATTCAATTTAGAGATCACAACTTCATGGAGCTGGGCTTCAGAGGAACATAAACTAAGATAGGATGAATATGGACATTGTCACTGGAGTCAAAGTCAGGGGTCATTATAATGGACAGAATTTGGGCCTGAGGCTCAGCTCGGATTCATGTAGAAGACTGACATGTTAGTAGTATGATTCTTCTGGAGACAGTGAGCAGGGCAAAGGATGGAATCTGTAGGGAGTAAATGGAGTTTATTACAAAGGATGAACATAATTGTTTCTGTGATTGGCAGAAACTGCAGCTTATAAAGGACGAGAGGATGGACAAGCAGTCTGACAACATAGGTACAACAAAGGGCTCCTGAGAGGTGGCACTGAGATAGGTTTGGTATCATGCTAATACATGTGTAACCTCATTTTTTTTTGGTTCAAATGATGTTGCTGAGGGGCAATATCCATATAAGAAATAGGAAGGTATCAAGGATTGATCCTTAATGGATGCCAGAGTTAACATTGCAAGGGATGAAGTGAGATAATGTTACAGGAGCTTCTTCAGTTGTGGTTTAATAACTAAGAGTGAAAAGGCAATTCTACCAAATTGGCCTTGATACCCAATGTATGCTACTGTAGCTGTGTACCATAGGCTAATAAAAAGCAAGCATGTACTGTCAGACTTCTGGATAGCAAGAATCTAAGTCATAAATTGCTTCCTGTCATACGCAGTATATTTTTTTTCAATTAAGCTGTGCCTCTACTCTCCAAATGATACATTTCCATGAATTACAGTGCAGACAGAATTTGAAATTAATCCAAATTCAAAGTAAATTGGTTGTGTCAGGTTTATTTATGACAATCCATATCTTGCATCATACAGTTAATTTGGGATTTGCTTGTCTCTTTTTAATTGGTACTGAATATTGTGCCAGTTAACTTCCTTACCCTTTGGTTACAATGATGGATAAAATGGTGACGATGGTGATTGGATATCTAATACATATATTAAGTTGTGGTTTCAGTGTCTGTGCTTTCCCAATGACTGGGTGAAGTATGTGGCAATGGAGAAGATGCAACTGGCCAAGGCTCATTCAACAGTACCTGCTATACCTGCAGCACCTCAACTAGAATAAAGACAGCCAATGCAGAGGAGAAGCATCAACTCTAAGCCACACATTGTCCTAACTTGCAAATATAATGTCAACATAGTCTTACCAGATTATGGGGTGGCTCTTTTATTAGAGAGGGACATGACTGGTGGTGGTTTAACCTCAGGGTCACCACACCTCTGGCAAGGGGAGAGGTTGAGAACGTGAGTCCTTTATAGTAGCCTCAAGTGCTGTGGGAGTTGAAGCCACGCTGTTGGTATCCCACTGTATCAGAGACGAGTCATCTGACCAATTGAGTTAAAGGAACCCCCTAAACTTGCAAATGTATCACTATTCTCTTACTAACATTGGGTCAAATTCCTGTAACTCCCTCCCTCACTGCATTGTGAGTGTAACTACGCCATATTTGATTGCAGTGGTTCAAAAGGGCACACCACCAACTTCTCAATGGCAATGAGGAGATGGGCAACATATATGTTGCTCTTGTCAGCAATGTCCACATCCCATGAACGAAATGTAAAACAAAAACTGGCTGCAATGAATTCGTGACAGCTGGTTAAACTCGGCAAACATAATCGGATTCTAGCAGTTCCGGCGAGAGGAGGTGGAGAAGGTGTGTGTGCGCGCGCATGTTTCCCTTAAAGCAGGACCAAACAGAGGCTTTTGGGGTTCCATATAATTAGCGCATAACCAACGTGAAGCCACCACGATCATACAGCACCAGTATAATAGGAGGCCATGAATAGCAATCTCTAACTGGTCACATTAAACAGATGTAAGAAATCTGAGAGCGGGCAGCTCAGTACATCGTATACTCAGCAAACCACAATATGCATCCACCAGGCACATTAGATCACGTTGATTTCTCTAGGACCTCCCAGATTTCTTTTTGCACAGAACTGCACATAAATGGCAAGGAATGCGGCAAGAAAACTTGGCGAGCTTTTGAAAGTTTGTTGTGTATGTCTCCCTGCACAGCCTTCAGACACGGCGGGAGGATGGCGACGGGAGTCACTTCCAGTCGCACGTTTGGCCAAGATGAGTACAATTTGTACAGCAGCCTGAGTGAGGAGGAACTCATCCAGATGGCGGTCGAACAAAGCCTTGAGACGCAATCTGCCTCGGTACAGCCTCAGGGTCCGAGGGGCCAGACTCATCCCAGGAACCGAGCTCAGGCCCAGGTGACTAGCCGTGTGGTTCAGACCGCAGTCGCTCAAGCCTGTCCCAAGAACAGGTGGGTGACCAGGTACAGAGCACTACGATTCGGGCTGACCGCACACACACACACATAGCTCTCTGACTGAAGAGGCTCAGGAGACCAGTTAATCCAACACTCGCTTGGCTCAGCTAGAAGCCCCAAGGGCCATGTTAGCAGGGACATGCCTTTCTGCCCAGATATCCCTGGGGCAATGTTGGAGCAGGCACGGTTGTCCCAAGCAGGCAGGCAGTGGATTTGTTTTTGTGTTTGAACGTGTGTGTGAATGTGTGTATTTAACTGGGCAACCATAGCCAGTGAAATCAATAGTAGCAGGCGAAAAACCTTGGCAGAACCTGTTAACACTCAAATATCTTCTGGTCAATCTCACGGGTCTTCCTAAAAAAAACCAAAAGAACTGCGGATGCTGTAAATCAGGAACAAAAACAGAGTTGCTGGAAAAGCTCAGCAGGTCTGGCAGCATCTGTGGAGGAGAAAACAGAGTTAACGTTTCGGGTCCGGTGACCCTTCCTCAGAACTGAGATGCTGCCAGACCTGCTGAGCTTTTCCAGCAACTCTGTATTTGTCACGGGTCTTGCTGTTGATCCGGTCCAATTCATCGTTCATCTGCTCATAGACGAAATAGAGTACCATTTAACGTTATTGGAAGACAACAGAGTATGTTATTTACGGGAAACTGCTTAAAACCCTAAGGGAAACGGGGATGAGGATGGGCTGGCAGCTAACAGAACACAGCTATCGCCGGTCTGGGAGAGGATATTGAGAGCATTGAGCAGGATAGCCCCATAGGCAGTTTCTTCTTTTGGCGACATTTCAAACCTGCGGTTAAATCCAGCCCACTGTGTGTGTGTGCTGGGGGTGTCCTCCGGCTATTCAAGGCTGGGACATTGCATTTAATCAAAGCTGTGTTAAACTTTTGATAGAGAATGGAATCAAGAGTTATACAGAGATGGGGGAGGGGAGAGGCACGAAAGAAGGGTGGAGTTGAGATCACAACCACATCAGCCCTGATTTTGTTCACTGGCAGAGGGGCCAAAGGGCCTATTCCTTGGTATTTCAGCTACACCTAATCTTTTGTTTCATCCGAACTAATCTTGTGTGGCATCTACAAACCTCCTGACTCCCTTGCGGAGGGGTTCATTCAACCTATTAACTCCTCCTCTGGGAATACAAGATGTGTTGCCCTCCATCCATCCCCTGCAGTCTGTGTTGTCTTTAATCTACCTCGTATGTCAGCCTTTCTGATTGACTAGTTTCCAACAGTTGCCCGGATTTGATTTTTTTTAAAGTCTGGTCTGGTCTCGCCGTTGTTTTATTTAAACAATACGTCATCCTAAGATGTCAACAAATACACAGCTGATACCGTGAGGGTGTGAAGTTACGTTTACCGAGTCCAGCAAAGATTGTATGGTTCTCGCGGTCCCCTTTATAATCCCTGTTAGAGCCGCTTGCTCTCTATTGTCTTATATGGTCAAATAGTCCCTCGGCATCTCCGAAGCCAAAAATAAACACGTGCACGAATCGATTGGTGCCAGCTCCTCACATTTTGAGTTGGAAGAGCTGCGGGGAGAAAAATGAGGGGCTTCTCTTACGCGGAATATTTTTCACTGTTTCATCCTCGCCGATCTCTTAGGTCGCCTGTGACTAATTCTGCTCCGACCGCCCATCCTCCGAGAACAAATAGATTCGACGGGAGGCTGATTCGACCCCCCAAGCAAGTCGTGTAAGTGTGTCTTCAGATCCAGACCCGGAATTATTGAAAAGGGTCTGTCGGTGGGACAGGGGAGGCATGTCCTTTCTAAAGGAAGTGAAAACTCCCCAAGAAGTAGGTTGATAAAAAAAACTGGGAGAATTTAAGAGAGATACATGATGGGAGGATAATGTATCATAAATTATTCCGGTTGATGAAAACATATCAGTTAACAGCATTTTTTTTTGTAATGTGACAATTTACTTGCCGCGTGATTTGGACATTTGTATGCAGTGCAGCCTTCTGAATTAATCTTTATCCAAATATTCCCATTCAATTGAATTATACAATAAAGAACAGAGAGAAGGAATCTGCAGGATGATGTTAAAGTGAAGGACCCTACAGCTTCAGCCCACGATTCAAATGTAATTAGAGAGAGAGATAACTGGCGGTTGAGCTAATTCTCGGGTTTAAAGCGTATAGCCCCCGATGGTGAGAGCGCGTAACGTTTATTTTCTCCAGTCAATGTTTTGCATTTGTCAATAAATGTGTAGGTGGAAAAGCCGAAACGTTGACTTTCCTGCTCCTGCAATGCTGTCTGAGCGGCTGTGCTTTTCCAGCTCCACATTTATTGACTGGAGCTTCCAGCGTCTGCGAAACCTGACTGTCTCCAATGTTTTTACATTTGCCTGGTTTTGTTTTTACTTTGGGGCGGTGCCCCTGCGCTCACGGCACTTGCTGTGACACCCAGTGATGACCTGACCCTGAATGACATTATTCAAACAGGGCAAAAGCTGGGCTGGCAGCACCCCTCACCTATTCGGCGCAAGGATCTTTAGACGTGCCCGCTATTACGTAGAGGGAATACATCGGGGCTGTTCTAGCCAATTATTCCACTTCCCAAGGGACACGCATTATTTATCTCAGCGTGGAGGTGTTATCGAGGGATCAATATTTCAAGATTGATTAGGTCTGTCCAAACTGTTTGGCATCTTTTGTTTAAGGTGGATGAACAAGTTTAAAGGCTGCACTATTGCAGTGGATATTACATCCTTTCTGCTCTTCATCCAGGGAGCCGGATCCTGTCGTTGTTGCGATAAAGAATGGTGATGAAGAAACCTTGTCAAATATGATTAAAGCTGGGAAAGTGCTTTCTGTGCCAAACTCGGACGGCTGGATCCCTCTGCATGAAGCAGCTTTCTATAACAAACCCGGCTGTGTGAAATTGTTGCTTCGAGGTCAGTGAGTGATCGGATAGCCTTATACTGTACATGATAAGAGATTAAACTGCATGTCGTGTATCTCTAAAGTTCTATGGTGAACTGAAGGGCTACCCAGTTTAGGGGAAATGACATGGACTGTGAAGGAACTGTAGAACAGCACTAATGCACTGGTGCACTTTCCAGGATATTACGTTTTCTCAAGATTTCCAAAAGATATAGGCCTTGTATCGTGCAGACGGGGAGAACATGATTGCCCCCGGAGAGGCTGCTGAAGAGATTTATCAGGATGTCGCCTGGGCAGAAGAGCTTTTGTTCTGAAAAGGGGTTGGATAGGCTGGGGTTGTTTTCCTTAGAGGAGACTGAGGAGTGACATGATTGAGATGTATGAGAGGCAGAGATAGGGTAGACAGGAAGGAACATTTCCCCATAGTGGAGGGATCAATTACTGGGACACAGATTTAAGGTAAGGGACAGAATTTTTGGAGGGGATCTGAGGAAAATATTTTTCACCCAGAAGGTGGTGGGCATCTGGAACTCACTGTCTTTAAGGGTGATAGAGGGACAACCCCTCATTACATTTAAAAAGTATTTAGACCTGCAATGCCAAGGCATACAAAGGTTTGGGCCAAGTGCTAGAGTAGCTAGACAGTTTTTGACTGGCACAGACTTGATGGGCTGAAGGGCCCTTTTCTTTGCTGTAGACATATTAGTTGAATAAATTGATTGATTGATTAATTGATCAAACTTTTCGGTGAGTCAGACCTATCAATAGCAGTAACTATAGGCCGATTAGCCTAACACCCATTGTTGGAAAAGTATTGGAATCAATTATTAAGGAAGTAATAGCAGAATGTTTGGAAAATCTAATCTAATCAAGTCGAGTTAGCATGGCTTCATGAAAGGGATATCGTGTCTGACAAATTTTTTAGAATTTTTTGAGGACATCTCAACCAGAGTGGTTAGAGGGGAAACAGTAGATGTGTTGTAACTGGACTTCCAGACCGTGTTCGACAAGGCATCTAACAAAAGGTTAAGAGTAAGATGAGAGAGCCCAAGATGCTGGAGGTAGTATATTGGGATGGAGGATTCACTGATGAGCTAGAAATAGTGCGTAGGGATAAGGGGTTCTTTTTCAGGTTAGCAACATATAACCAGTGGGGTTCTGTGCTGGGACCACAACTGTTTCCAAAATATATTAATGACTTGGAAGAATGAAGTGAATGTATTGTATCTAAGTTTGCAGTCAACACAAAAACAGATGAAAAAGCAGGTTGTGAGAGGCATACAAACAGTTTACAAAGAGATGTTGATAGGTTAAGTAAGTGGGCAAAAAGTTGGCAAATGGAATGTGAGTGAAGTTATTTATTTCGGAAAGGAGAACAAAAGAACAGAGTCTTATTTAAATGGAGGAAATCTACAGAAAGCTGCAACACAAAGAGACTGAGGTGGTCAGGCAGGCTAATGGAATATTGGTCCTTATTTCAAGGAGGTTGGAGTACAAGAGTAGGGAATTCTTACTGCAGCTATATAAAGTTCTAGTGAGACCACATTTGGAGTACTGTGAATAATTTTGTTCCTATTATTTAAGGAAAGATGTCATTTCATTGGAGGCAATTCAAATAAGGTTCATTATGATGATACTTGGTATGGAGCGATTGTCTTATGAGCAAAGGATAAACAGGTTGGGACTCCACTGACTGGAGTTTAGAAGATTGAGAGCTGATTTCATTGAAACATATAGGCTTGACAGTGCAAATGCTGAGAGGATGTTTCCTCTCATGGGAGAGTTTAGCACCAGAGGGCATAGTCTCAGAATAAAGGGGCTGCCATTTTAAGACTGAGATGAGGAGGAATTTCTTCTCCTAGAGAGTTGTGAGTGTTTGGAACTCCTTGGCACAGCAAGCTGTGGAGGCCGAGTCCTTTTGTATATTTAAGACTGAGACAGATAGATTTTGATTAGTAGGGGAAAACTCAGGAGGGCAAACATGAGAAATGTCTGATCAGCTGTGATCCAATCGAATGGTGGAGCAGGCTTGAGGGGCCAAATGGCCTACTCCTATTCCAATGGTCTTATGATTAACATTAGGGACAGAAACTTAGAAGACAAAATGTAAATTGTGTTAAAATTGATAACAATTTGCCCATCCATCCATCCATCCTCAAAATCTTTAGTAAAGGACGTAGGGATAAAAGGTGAATAAACCTTTGTTTGACATTTTTTACCAACTTGTTTGTTTGTGGCCAGTAAGATTAACTCATAGTGGAGATAAATGATAGATGTCAGATTTGTAAGAAGTACCAAAGGACACAGCTTACAGTAAGTCTGCCCTTAGCAAGAGATTTCAATGCGGTCGTGGCTATGGATTGAAAGATATGGGATAGAGAAAAAAGAATAATTTTATATTTTGTAGAGTTGGCAACCAGATTTTGTCAGTCAACAACAATACATAGTAAAGATAAGAACATATTTGCGGTAAAGTTCATGGAAAAATGCATGAGGACTGGACTTAGACCATCGGCAAAATTTCTCACCAATAATGGGGAGGAGTGCGCTGATGATGAATTTAGAGATATTGGCAAATCTAGAAGTAATAACATGAATATGGCAGCAGAAAGCTCATTTAGTAATGAGGTCTGTTAAAGCAACCATGCCATAATAGATGAGATAGTCTAGGCCCATGGGTTAGGAACATAAAGTACAAAGTTGGAAGGAAAGAAAATACAGTGTCAGCTCAAATAGGGGTCTGGGAGCCAACATCCCCCTAGTAAGAGATCACAAACCATTGAAAAAAACATATTAACAGGAAGGGAAGATCAAACAGTGGCAGTCTGAAAAGAGACAGAATACAAGGTAGAGGGTGTAATTTAACAAGGTCAAAATACCACCAGGAGCAGAAATTCGTGTAATTGATAATCTTACTGGCCACAAACAAACTAGATGACAAGTTAGTAAAAAATGTCAAATAAAGAGAATTTCAAAGCTGGAGAGAATTTGAGATGTATACACAGAGATGCTAGATAGGGGGCAACCAGCCCTATCACATAGGTGGATATGCACAGAAAATATTTTCCTGATAGGATTTATCAGTCTAAAGCAAGGTTGGTGGCACAAGATACTGATGAAAACCTGGGAGACGAAGATATCAGAGTAGATGCACTGACGGAACAAAAAACAATTTTGAAATTTTCTCGGCTTTGTCAGCAACAAATGCTTGTGGGTGTAGATCAATTGATAGTAAAGCTGCATTTGTACGAGGAGGTCACCTCAACGGGGAAATACTCCTTCATCCTCCAAAAGAAGCACCAAATGCAATGTGGTCATTTTGGAAGATAAATAAATTTGTATTTTGCTTAAATTATGCCTTTAAAGCTTGGTATTTCTCAGTAAGATCTGTTTATTTAAAATTATGCTGTCTTCAGTTAAAAACACACCCTGCCATGTTTTACTGGCATCTTGAGGAGCATCATTAAGACATCTTTTTGATGCACGTAGATTACTTTTGGGGGCTGGGAGCAGTGACTTTGAAGATGTTAGCATAGTGGACTTAAAGCAGAATTCAAAGTTAGAAATCAGACTTCGGGGCTTTTAAGTACATTGGATTGGATATTGGGCAGAATGGATCAAGCATCATTTTGCATCAGCAATCTTACTTGGAAAATGTTAGCCCCATTGTTATTAGTCAAAATAGGGCCTCACAAAAAGATGCTGCATTTTCCAAAACTGAAAGGGAGGAATTGCAAAGTCTAATTGAACAGCTGAATTGTCTTGGCACCCCAAAAAAAGTCAGGTGCTATCTATGAAATATTAGACTTCAGTATAACTGTGTAAAAACCCAAGGTGGAAGATGTTATTTGAACAAGTAAAAAAAATTAAAAGTGGAGCATTGTGGTTTGAAATTTCCATCATTGGGAGATGCCTGTAACATGGAACTTATAGTTTTGATGGTGCTTCTTATATAAATCTCTATCATGGGTTCTCAAGTGCAGGAGAGTTTATAACTTTTCTTGTGGGAAAGGGAGGTAAATGTTGCCCAATGATCAAGAGACTAATATAAAGTACCTTAGTGGCAGAAACTCTCAGTCTTGGTTAGTTGGTAGGTAAGGTGCTTTTCGTAGTGAAAATATTGAAAGAAATTCTTAAAAGGCATTCAGCAGCAATACCCATTGAATACTACATCAAGAAGAAATCTCTATGGGATAGTGTGTATTCAAAATATATGCAAATAGAAAAAGATTGAGGATTGATATTACAGTTCTAAAACAGAAGCTGGAGAAGTGAGACATCTCCAAATTGAAATAGGTGGATAGTAATAGCTATCTGATTGTTTTACAAATAAAGGAGCAAGCTCTAAGAAACTGTTAGACATACTGAAAAAAGGACACTTGGAGCCTTAAGGAGTCTTAAGATTGATTTTAAAAGAATAAAAAGGGATTCTTATCAAATAATATGGTCTAAAAGGATGACTGAGATTTAAAGGAACAAGGGAACAGATGGTGGATACATTAATTAAAGGTTCATGGGTGTAAATATGAGGAGCTACCAATCAGTGGGGTCTGGTTTTTATAGAGTGTAGTTAACTGAAGTAAAGCACTCACAAAGGATTTGGACTCTGTTCAAAAATACTTATCATTTAGTTTATAACACTGAAATGTGTTTGAACAGAAATTTTCCTTGCATTGCATTTGGAAAAATATTTCTGCAGAATGTTAGTGATTGCCGAAAGTAGAAAATAACTCAGTAGGCTAACTACAAAAAACTGATGATACTAGCGTCATAATATTTGGTATAGACAGGAATGAAAGAATGTGAAAGAAACATAGATTATGGATATGCAGTATCAATGTCCAATGTAAACACTCAATGTCCCTAATTTGTTCCAGCTCGTATGTATTTTAATGGTTCATGTAAGAGTGCCAAACTGATACTATTGTGTTGTGGAATGATCTGATTTTGGTTATAACTATTTATGTATTTTATACAGTATACATGAGTTCATTTTAAAAATAATAATGATAAAGTCTTTTCATTGGACCTTGAGCAGTGTTGACGATGAGATGAGGCCTGTTGTAATGAGAAAGAGATTAGTTTATGAAATACTGGAAAAGTAGGTACAAACATCATGAAGTTTTGTTTGCTAAGTAAGCTAGGCTATTTTGGTGGAATGATACATTTACATCCAACATTCTGCTTCCCAGGATGTTACTAATTATTATTCTTAGCTTTCTAAGAAGGCTGCCAAATACATTTAAATGAGCCTACAAATAAATAATGTCTGTAACTGATGGAATTGCCTCTATATTGGCAGAGAAAATATGATTTGTAACCTTCCCAAACTCCCCACCCCCTCAAAAAAAATGCCCCCCGGGAATATCAGAAACTATTCCCATCGAGAAGTTGTTATCAAACAAAAAAATGTGAGCAGATGTTGACTCTAACTTTAAGAGCTACATGAGGTCAAAAGAGCAACATAGCTGTCCTCTTTTAAGTAAACGAACCAATGGAAACATGAAGGAATAAAATTATAAATGGAAAATGAAAAGACACACATTGTGAAAATCTGGAATAGAGTCATAGTAGTAATAGAAACAGACCATTTGGCCCAACCAGTGCATGCCGATCATAATGTCAAACTAAGCTAGTCCTACCTGCCTGTGCTTGGCCCATATCCCTCCAAATGTTTCTTATTCAGGTACTTATCAAAGTATCTTTTAAACATTATAACTATACGAGCATCCACCTGGCAACCCGTTTCAGACATGCACCATCCTCTGTGTGAAAAAATTGCTCCTCTGGATCCTTTTGTATCTCTCATCCCTCACCTTAAACCTGTGCCCTCTAGGTTTAGACTCCCCTACCATGGGGAAAATCTGTTGTCTATCTAACTTATCTTTGCCTCTCATGATTTTATAGACCTCTATAAGGTGACCCCTCAGTCTCCTATGCCCAAGGGAAATAAGTCCCAGCCTACCCAGCCTCGCCATATAACTCAAACTTTCCAGTCCAGGTAGCTGTCTCATACCATTAAACTTTGTCCTACACCAATTAAAAACTTCTAAAAAATAGAAATAATGAATATTGGAATGCATGGGTTGTTAATCAACATTCGGTAGAATGTATTTTGTGAGGCAAGTAAAGTAGATAAAGTTAAGATACAGAGCAACTGTAATTTAATTGAGTGATGGGACAGGCTGAATGGACAGCTCTTGTTCCAAAAGGTTAATTTTTCAGCCTTCAGAAGTTATTAGATTGGGGAAGCTCTTTATGTTACAAAACAAAAATTCAGGACAAGGAGAGGGTAAAACACTGCTTAGAGATTGTCATGAGGTTATACCCATTAGTTTTGATGGTAGGATTTTTAAAACTGCCAACTTTTAGACTAGGGCAAATTTGATTGAGACAAGGCTTAAAAATGCAGAAGTGCTAAAATTGCCTTTAGTGAGGGAGTGAGTGAAAAGAGAGATCTCCTCTAATCCAGACAACCATTCAAACCTGTCACAGTCTCAGGAAAACATTAGCAAGTCCAAAGTACTGGATGTTGACGCTATATCACACACAGACCCACCAAAAATAGCCTCTTGAATGTAAACACTAGAACCAGTATTTCAAGGGGAGTTCCCAAAACCTTTGAGAGATTACTGAAAGTGAAGCTGTTGCCTCCACTTCTCATTCTCTGGAAAAGAAACTGCCTGGTTCCCATGAAAGCTATGTCAGAGGAGAAGCATCAGGAAACCAAGAACTTTACAACAACTGTGACATTCGCTAGTGCTAGCTGCATCCAAGAAATCAGCTAACCAGCCTCAATCTCAGGTTTAAACTGAGTGCCTCACAGACAGCCAAAGGACTCTATATTCTATTATTTTCCTTCGTATTGGTCACTATACCCTTAGCAGGTAATAAATAGTTTCTTTCTTTAACCAAATAAAACCTAGTGACTTCTTATTCCCTACACTAAATTAATTAACTATATTTAAGTTGGTTAGAGGTAAAGCCTCATTCTAAAAAGAATTCAAACTTTTGTTGGGACCAACCAGGGGAGTCAAACCAAGGGGAGCTCCCTCAACAATTTTCACTAGGCAGTAGCAAGATGAAAGCTAACAGTTAATGAGGTTGAAAACCAAACAGATTTTGCTAGGAACAGTGAAGCTAGGATGACTTATACTATTAAAAATTGTCATCTCAATAAATGGTCAAGTGCTCCGAGCAAGTAATTGGAAAGGCAGAGGAATGAGCCAGACATGGCTGTAAAATAGAAGGGAAAATAAATAAAACAGTGTAAGAATGGAAGAAATAAGTATGAAAGCATGGAATAGAAGGAATGTCTGAAATGACTGAAGTCAACACTCAGCCATACAATGACCAAGAAGAAAATTATATTGCTGTTTCTGAAATTTGAGTTGAAATATTTCTTTTTTTTTTAATAGCTTATCCTGGAACTGTGGACTATCGGACACTAGCGGAGGAAACTCCTTTATACTTAGCAACATGCAAAGAGCATTTGGAGTGCATGAAATATTTACTGGAAGCAGGAGCAGAATGTGACATCACTAGTAAGGCAAAAGAAACTGCACTCTACAAAGGTAAAACAAAACTGAAAAAGTGTAACTGCTTGATCTTAGTTAAATGAATGTGCCAAATCTAATACATTCCTGCTCTGAATTTGGGAAGGCAGTGGTGTAATGTCATATCACTGGACTAATAACCCAGAGTTGCAGATAAAGTTCTGGAGCATTTGTTTAATCCCACTGCAGCAGATTGTGAACTTTAAAATCAATAAAAATCTGGAATTAACATGTAGTCTCATGATGATGATGTAACTGTTGTTGATTGACATAAATACCCATCTGATTAACTAATGTCCTTTTATGGAACAAAATCTGTTGTTCTGCCTGGTCTGCCCTACATGTGACTCCAGATCCACAGGAATATGTTTGACTCTTAACTTTCTGCTGAAATAACAAATTACTCAGTTAGGTTGGAGATGAGCAATAAATGCTGGTCCAGACATTGATGCCACAATTTCATGAAATAATTTTAAAAATTATATCTGTTAGGACGGTAAAAGCTTAATAATTATATGTATTGTGCTGAGAATATATATAACAAAACCGTGTATTTTAATTTCACAATTTCTGATCCTAAAATCATCTTGCAGTGTATAATTTTACAATGTGTACAACTGGAGCAGATTACCAGAATTGTTCCACAACAATACAATCTGATTCTGAAGCACTAAACAAGAAATTCCTGATATCCTAAACATGTGCTTTACATTTCAAGTTATTTCTGTTAACAGCCTGTGAACGTAAAAATGTGGAAGCTGTTAAACTTCTGATACAATATAATGCTGATGTGAATCACCGCTGCAACCGTGGGTGGACTGCTCTTCATGAGGCTGCAGTACGAAGTGATCTGGACATCATTGAAGCTCTGTTCATGGCTGGTGCCAAGATTGAGGCATCAAATATTTATGGAATCACTCCATTATTTGTTGCAGCACAAAGTGGACAACTGGAATCTTTGCGTTTTCTCACAAAGTATGGTAAGTAGGGTTGTTTCTTGATGGGAAGTTATTAAGAAGTTAGCCATTAACTTGTTGTGTGAAAGGCACTGACTTATGAGCAGCTTTGACGAAGTAAATAAGGAGAATCCTTTTTTAGTGGTATAAAGTGCTGGTTACCAAATGGACACAGATTTAAGATCCTTTGCAAAAGAACCCAATTCATGATAAGAATGTCCTTGTGAAATGATTTGTTATGATCTGGAATACACTGCCTGAAAGGGTGTGGGAAGCAGATTCCAGTCATCTGCCAGTCTTTGGTACAGGATGAAAGCCTAACTGCCTGCCAGGAAAATCTATTCAGCATCCCTAATCTACTCATATAAGAGGTCTCGTGCACCGTGGTAACATCCCTACCTTTGGGCCGGCCATTCTGGGCTCAAGTCCTACGTCAGGACTTGATGGCCTCAGAATGCATGTCATAATGTGGCTGAACAGGTTAGTTAACAATCTGTAGTACATTCTGATCTGCCTATGATAGGCTGTAAGAGAAGCTAGTTTCTTGGTCTGCCAGAACTGTAAGGAAGCTGCAGGGTAACAGCCTACTTAGCTTAGGACACAACACATGCAGGTTCTTGCCAGTAGCACGTGTCATCCTCGTTCTGAGGGACTATCACAAACATGTATAGACACTCACATATCCACTTGGGCACTTATATATTCACATTGGCTAAGTGGGTCGACCTTACTGCTTCCACCCTACGTCCAGCAAGATAATCTGCAGGTGGACACTCTTCAACCTGACCCCTTCCCGTGTCACCATTTTCTGGCTGCACCATCCAAACCGCCTTGTCAGGTCTATTTAGATAACACTCAGTCTCCTCTGCTGTTAGTTTCTTCAATGAGGGCTTGAATGGGTGAAACAGTGAAATTCTAGCTTGGCAACATGTGCTGTTGTCCTCTGTGTCGAGGTCCAGTCCTAGTTCTGCACAAAATGAAGTCAAAAGTATTGCAAAACAGTGCATCCAGATTATTGAAAAGCAAAATATAAGTTTTGTCTGCTTCAGTCAGCTGCTGTAGAACATTGGCAGAGCTGTTTTTAAAAGCTGCCCCAGAGCTCTTATGCAGACTGTCTGCGTACACATGTTTAACACAAGTTTTATGACAGCTTCGTCATTGAACTTTTCCCTGTAAGGCCACCTCACCATACATTGCAATCTCCTAAGTTTTCCTCTAATGTCTATCCAGCAGTTGGTCTCTCCTTTGCTACCTCCTATCTATGAATGTTTGAGAGTCAACTTCATTGACATTTCATGCTCTTTTTCTTATGTCTTTGGATCCTTTACCTCCAATTGAAAGCATTGCTCAAAGTGGTCACCAAGTTTCTGATGAGCCATCAATGCCACTCCATTCGAAGGGTTCATTACTTGCTCAATGCCAAATCCTTTCAAAAGCTGCACCTGAAATTTGCCTCCCTCCTGTCCAGCATTCCTGTGATATATGGGAATTGTTTTCCAGCAATGTCAGTGATATTTAAAGAAAATGATTTCTGCCTTTTACGTCCCAGCTTTGGACGAATCTTTGAGACAACTGACTTTATGGATTTTCACACCCTGCTTATGCTGCTCCAAGTTATGCAACCAGCAATCAATGATTGCTTCTTTTCTTTTAATACACCAACTTTCATAGATGTGTTTTGCCTGCGGATGCAGTGTGCTAAACTTATTGTCACACTGGCATGCAGATGAATTTATGTTACTATCACTGTGCATTTAATTATGGTGTACAAGGTGGAGTTGGCCTAGGATGCAATGATATACATTATGCAACCTTAAAGAAGCATTTAGGTCCCAATGACTTTAGCAATTTAATTTGAATTTATTAATTATGACTCAATCACCTTGTTAAAGAAGTGACTACTCTAAAGGAGTGAGTGTTTATAGTTCTAGAAAATGGGTATTTTGAAATAGCCTTTGCTTAATATTGTCCTGAACATCAAAAGAACAGAAGAAAAATTGTAAAATAAATTAAGCATTTTAACAAACAGCTAACATTTATGTTTTCCAAGTGCACATATGTTTAGCAAGTTATTTGACAAATTATCTTATCAGTTGAATAAAATTGCTCTTATCTTTCTGATAATAGCTGTATGTTATGGTTTGCTGTTCATTATAATTCTTAGGTGCAAATATCAATACACAGGCCAATGATAGTGCCTCAGCATTGTATGAAGCCAGCAAGAATGAGCATGAAGACGTTGTGGCTTTTCTTCTTTCACAAAATGCTGATGCAAACAAAGGAAGTAAGGACGGTTGGCTGCCCCTTCACATTGCTGCTGCAAGGGGCAATATGGCGTAAGTTGTAAGGCACGAAACTTCCTGCGTTTAAAATATTGTGCACATTTCAATGGGCTAGGGTTCAGTCTCTGAGCTTTATTTTCAACCTTGGTATTCAAAGAAAATCACAGCTGAGAGCTCCCTGATTGAGTTCCTTAACATGGATCTGCTTTAGAGACTGCATAGATTTCTAAATATATTCGCCAGTAGTAACTAAAAATTTGAATCATCCACTTAAGTACTTCAAAATGCTGTATTTACCCATTGAGAGCTGCTGACTTAAAAAAGAGAAGCATTTATAGAATTCATTTATAGAATATATTACATCATTATGACAACTTGATGGTTCCAGCTAAACTTCCATAAAGATTTTATGCATTGATAATAGGATTCATAAATCAGGGTTAGAAATGTCCATGACTATTATTTTTCCAGGTTTTTTCAAATGATGACCACCAGGTGATAACCAACATTAAACACTTATGCATGCTGCTGCATACATTATGTACTATTGGCTGCACTTATAACCATATAAGTTGTAGATAGCTTGTACACTACCATGAAATCTTCTTGGTGCTAATCCAAAACTGACAAGTCCTCACCTAACTTCTTTATCTAGCTATAACAAGCTGAGCTAGAAGTGACAATGAGTGAAGAGGAGCTGGGAAGTAAGCCACTAGAACTCATGGCTTGTGGAGCCTGGTGTTTATGTTGGACGCATTGTTCTCAAGCCATAGACTAGACAAAATCATAAGGAAGTGCTACCCCTACTTAAATTGCTTGGAATCACTGGCAATGAAAGTAATGTTTCTCCATGCTTTTTTAATTAAATAAAGTAACATGTTTGAATTTGTGCTCACAAATGAAATCTATCCAGTACAGCTTTCTCAACTAAACAAGAAGCACACATCACATAAACAAACTGGATTTTTATCAGAGATAACACAGTTTGGAGCTGGAGGAACACAGCAGGCCATGCAGCGTCAGAGGAGCAGGAAAGCTGATGTTTCGGATGTGTTCCTCCAGCTCCACACTGACTGTTATCTCTGACTCCAGCATCGGCAGTTCATACTATCTCTGGATTTTTATCAGATCTTTGAGAGGTATATGAGCAGAGAAATCTATCTTCCAGTCAATGGTTTAGTCCTAGAATTATATTTATTACTTATGTATAATTTCAATGAGATTTTGGAGGAATCAATTATTCAAAAGTTAGGCAATTATATATAACTGTACAAATATAAATATTTGTATATAAGTATACATATATATATATAAATATATATATGACTATACAATTCTGGTACAATTTATGTTGACTCTTCTGACTAATGTCAGTTAAAAGTGTTTCCTATGGTTTATCATCATCAATAAATTAAATTGTATAAATCTAGAATAAACTGCTTCACATTTCCCCTCTTCCTGTCACTATATTTGTTCTAAATGCAGAGCATCAGCCACAGAAACCGTGTTCCTTAATTGATTCATTAGAAGAGAAGTGTAGGGATACAAAGAAAAATAATGGAAAATGCTGGAGTTTGGAAATAAATGCTGATAGGCTTGCTGCACATTCACAATACTTTTGATCCTGAACCCATAGAGGAGAGTTTCATCGCCCAAAAATGGTGGGCTGTCCATTAGTCAGAAATTAAAGCTCAGAAGTTCTGGAACAGGAATTAAACTGATGTCAAACCTGACCACATCTGGTTTTAACAGAGGAGAAACAAGGAGAAGGCAGCTAATTGGCTTACGAGAAGTCCCTTCATCATTTCAATATTATAGTAAGGCTGCTGTCATCATATTAAGCCAATTCATTTTTTCACATGTGGTGGCGAAGCTTCCCAGGCTATGGAAGCAAGGCAGCTGAAAAGACGTGAGAGAAGGAAGGTTGAACCCATGATCTGACTTCCTTTACAGCACAGCCTGTGGGCTAAGAGAAACATAAATGTTTTCTTTAGGCCCTGTGTGGTATACAGTAAACCCCACCCTCAAGATCTGCTTCGTCCATTCATGGGCATTACTAGTTCCCTTAAATACCATTGTGACCACCCTGATTACTATGGGACCAGTCTGAACATAATCAGATCTTCGGCACTACTTTGCATATCCTTTCTCCCCATAAACCTCTGCAATCAGAATGCCATTGACTATGATCAGACTATATTTCATTACACCCATCTGATATCTTCAGCTGCAGCCATGCATTTTCAGGTTTTGTCACTCGGCATTCAAGAGGGCATTGGATCATTCTTTGGATAGAGATAGTGTGAAAAGATATGAGGAAAAAGAAGGAGCCTGGCACGAGGTAATGACGCTTGTTTGAATGGTCGATGCAGTCACAATGGGCCAAATGGCCTCCTTCTACACTGTAACAATTCTGTGATTCTGTGAACAGATCTGCAGCCTGTCAATCAGACCTTTAGTGAGCAAGAACCTGATAGGAAAAAAAAAATAATGCAGCAGACCTCACACAGAATATAGCACTAGACTAAAGTCCAGACAATAAGATGTAGGAACAAAAGTTGGCCACTCAGCCCATTGAGTCTGCCCTGTCATTCAATGGCTGATCTGATATCCTCAACTCCATGTTCCTGTCTTTTTCCCATAACCCTTATTTCCTCACTGATTAAAAATCTGCCTATCTCACCCTTGAAAATACTTATTGACCCAACCACAACAATGCCCTGGGATGAAGAATTCCACAGATTCACAGTCCTCTAAGAGAAGAAATTCCTCTTTATCTGTGTCTTAAATGTGTGTTCCCTTATTCTGACATTATGCCCTCTGGTCCTGGACTCTCCCACAAGGGTGACAACCTATCTGCATCTTCCCCATCAAGCTCCCTAAGGTTGCCTCTCTTTCTTCTAAGTTCCAACGAATATCATGAATTTTGCTTGGCTATCCCTTTCTGACAGCAAAATTGAGGCTTATTTTAGTTATGAAGGCACAAAACATTAGAATTTAATAAGACCAAAGACAAATCCATGAAAGATGATGAAATATATAAATTACTGACAATTACACTAAAACTGCACAGCTACAGAACTTTGTGGGGATTTGCAAACAAGATTGCCTTCTAATGTTGAGATATTTTAAGTAAAGATAAATACTATGTGAAATAAAAGTCATTTTTCCGGTAGTCCAAACAACAAACAAATATTTAGTGTGGCCAAGCAGTGGAAGAGCACCTCAAAACCATTGTGTTGGAAAGTCCTTTGATCCATATTTGTCTGGTCAAGAGAGATGTAAAGAGAATCAGGAGCATTAACAGGTGTCCTCTGAAATTGGAAGTCCGTGAGATCCACTAGACTATAAGTGAAAGCTTTAGGTAAGTTCAGAAGGATGCTGAATCACTGGCAGACATCTTATTTCAGGCAAGTAAAATAATCCACTGATGCGCAGAATCACAGTACGTGACATTATTTTGTTTTACATAAAAATGTGTTGTGTCATGGAATTCTGATTCTTATCATAACTGTAATGCATTGTATCAATTCACAGTGAAACAAAATAGCTTAATGATTCATTTCATTGATTTGATTTAATTTATTATTGTCATATGTACCAAGACACAGTGAAAAATATTGTTTTGTGTGCTAACTGGACAAATCATACCTTACGTAACTACATCAGGGTAATAGAACAGAATGCAGAATATAGTGTCACAGCTACAGAGAAGGTGCAGAGAAAAATCAACTCTAATGTATGAGAGGTCTGTTCATAAGTCTGATAACAGCAGCTGCTTGCTCAATTCATCATAGAGCAAATGTAACAAAATCCAGTTCATTTTAACAAACTCACTTTTCTCTATTGAATGAGCAGCTTTCAGACAGTGTGAGTCAACCTGCACAACAGTAATGTTTATATCACTTCTCAGAGTGATTGATGCTACTAAACCCGTAAATGCAAAGGCAAATTCAACATTTCAAATTATGTATTGACACTCATACCTATTGTAACTAATTTTTTGCAAAGTACCTGATCAATCCATTGCAGACCATTGTTCATGCTGAACAGTAATGCAAGTGTGGTTTATTTTTATTCAGGATAGTTCGGATGTTGATTCCTGTTACCAGCAAAGTCCGGGTGAGGCGCAGTGGAATTAGTCCCCTTCATCTTGCTGCTCAACACAATCGAAATGATATTATTGAAGAACTGATTGAAACTGGCTACCCTATCAGTGCCCTCTTGTCACCAGAAAGATCACGGCTGTTTGAAGATAAACGTACTTCAGTTTTGTACTTTGCTGTTTACAACAATAATGTAGAAGCCACAGAAATGTTGCTCAAGGCTGGGGCAAATCCTAATGTCGATCTGATAAACCCCCTTCTAATCTCTATCCGACAGGGCTCCATTAAAAACATACAGCTGCTCATAGACTATGGAGCTAACATCAATGCTTATATTCCAACGCATCCTACATCCTTCCCAGCGACAATCATGTTTTCTATGAAGTACCTCAGTTTATTGAAATTAGTTATGGACTTTGGTGGTGATGGAGAGTCATGTTTTAAATGTGTATATGGAAGTCATCAACATCCAGAACAAGAGCAGAGAAGAGACGATATACAAGTGCAGCATAAAAAGCCCAGACCTGTACAAGTAAGCTGTGAAAATAACTTTTTTCCCATCATTATATAAATAATGATGAGTTATTATCTAACTTTTCAGGCAAGGATTATATTTATAATATAATTAGTGAGTCATCAGAACAAATGCATGTACGATTGTTATTCTGTAGTATAGAATGTGGAGCACAGACTACTAATTAGTAGGTTGAGAAAAGCCATTTATTACCAGTCTGCACGAAATAATGTTAGAAGGTTGCTTCCAAAGTACTTACATTAATAGTGGGCGTGAAACTGGAATGGTGCAACATTGCTCCATGGAGGAAATGGAGACATAGGAAGGTCAAAAGAGAAGGAGGTGAGACAGTTTTAAAATGTTCTTAATGGGATTTTTCCTTTTGAAGATGATCAATCCTGACTCAGGTTTAATTACCTTTGGCCTAGTCAGACTTGCAGTCTTGTTAAAGCCCTCAATGGAACTAATGGCAGCTCTCAGCTACCAAAAGAGCCTAATAGCGTTTAGTTGATGGAATTCCCAGGTAGGTTGGGAACTCCTCTAGAAATAGTATACAGAAGCTATATGAAAATATTTTTGATTCATCCATCTACACCTCAATTGGAATTTGAGGACAACTTTCTGGAATGGAAAGGTGGGAGAAGACCCAGATTTTGAACCGAATTTGGCCCCTTTCCTTTCTTCAGAAGTGGGGATTCTGTCCTGTTTACATCCTCCCTGCCCCATAACTTACAGCACCTATAACTCCCAGAAAGAAATAAAACTATTATATGTAGATTTTAAATCTAAATAGCTGAATAAAAACAGAAAGTGATGGGAATACTCAGCAGACCTGAAAGCAGCTACACAGAGGCAAATAGAGCTTACATGTCATTTGATAAGCTTTGGTCAGAGTTCAGATAAAAGGTCATCAACTTGAAATGGTAACTGTTTTCTCTTTTCATTGATGGTATACAGCATATTCAGCTGTCTGGTATTCTGCTTTTCTAAACTGACATATATTTGTCTTTTGACATCTTTTAAGGCAATAACCTAAGCAGACAGAATTTCTGAACTGTTAATTATGGAAACATTTCACTGAATCTTCAACTCAAAGCTTAGATTTACCTTAGTTTTAATGACATGACATCCAATTGACTCAATTTTTTAAAAAATAAGATCTTGCTTTTTATAACTTTACTGGGACATCTCATAGTTTGAATAACCAATTTGTAAGACTTAAAATAAGACAGTGAATCATATATAATCTGAACCAATCCTGAGCTCTGTATATACTTGAGAACTGTGTATCAGGGCTATTTCAAGACTTACTAGAGAGACCTTGACACTATACCTTGAGAAAGTGTATAGGATAAACAAAGTGCTCTGGCATTTTAAAATTTCTTAGGAGAGTAATTGAATTTTAAACTGATAGCTCCCATATAACATCCTTTTGGTCAGTGCAACACTTTGGATTTGAAATGGAATGTTGACATTGAAGGCTTATGATTGATTCATCTCCTTTAACAACCAACCAGATTTTAAATAAACATAGCTATTTTTATGACTTAACAGCACCAAAATTAGGAACAAGCAATATCCAGTCACGTTCACAACATCAATTAAAGTTAAGTGCTCATCAGGAAAAGAAAGCATCTTGGAATTAAATCAACAGAAATTTGAATATTGGCTGAGTGATATGCAATCAGTTCACTTAAATTATGACTTCCTTCCCTTAAATCTTATAGATAAAATAATAAGTTGTCTACCAAAACAAAAGTTATTTTAGAAGTGGGATTCCAAATAGTGGGTTTCTTTGCTGAGCAGCCACACCAAACCAATTGATTTAGTTTCCAACCAAAAGAGTACCAATTAAGTGACTGTAGACTTAAGCTCCCTCTGCTGGATCTATGTCTGTAACTGCATAAACACCAGAAAGGATTGGTTTTGTTTATCGGGGCAAAATCTAAGGTCATCATTGTGAATTACACAAATTCAGTAATTGAAAACATTTTAAAATAGCAATTCATGCAACCCTAAACAATAAAACCTAGCCTTTCATTCTTTATGCTGCATCTAAGCAACAAGCTCTTGTGCATTTTAAACTTGACTTCAAAACTCTCAGTTCTTACTTTCCGATTACTGCTTAGTGTTTCCTGATCTGATTCACTGTGTTGTTAACAACTGTGAGCAGCCTTTGTTCCTCTAACACTGGCCTACTCACATTTCCCTTCCTTTACGACATTGTTGCGACTATTCATTCAGCCACTCTGCATGTGGTCTGGAGAATTCCCAGCCTAGATTCCTTCCGCATTTTCATTTCTATCCATCCTTTCCAAAACCCTCATAAAATCTTTATCTTCTTCTGTGCTGTCTTCACTTTTCTTTTGATTAGTTTGCTTGGTGCACTTTTTTTTTGGTTTCTGCAATGTGAGATGTAAACTGATCACTTTTATAAATGTCCTTTGTTGCTAGTGTCAAAACTTAGTTGTTGAGCATTGTCATGGCACACTGTTATTCAGCAGGTTCTGTTTGTGTACCCCATACTATATTCAACCCAATTCATTGCTGCAGGAATACTATGATCCATTACCAAAGACCCACCCATCCTCAGCAGTTTCATCAATGACCTTGTACTCCCACCATCACCCCCAATACCCCTCGTAAGACATATTTGGGGATGTTTACACAGTTTTCAGTATCATTAACAAATTGTCAGATAACAAGCAATGTGTGCTACCTTGCAATAGGACCTGCACAATATTCAGACTTGATTGGTAAGTGGTAGGTAACATTCACACCATGAAAATGCCAACATTATTATTTATATCAAAAATGCCGACAAGAGAGAAGCTAACTTACACCCCTTGACATTCAATGACATTGCCATAATTAGGACTCCCCATCCCCAACCTCACCATGCCCTAATCATACTCCTTGGGGTTACTATGGATCAGAAGCTGAACCGGACCAGCTATATAAACATGGCTTGAAATGCAGGTGAGGGGTTAGGAATTCTGGTGAGTAACACACTTCCAGACAGTTCCCAAAATCCAACATCTATAAGGCAGAATTCAAAGGTGAGGTGGAATATTCTTCATTTGTCTGGTTGTATGATACTTCAACAACAGTCAAGAAGCTTACAATCCTCTGGGACAAAGCTTCTTGATTGGCATTTCATGCATCACATTCAACATTCACTTCCTCCACCAATGAGACAGCAGTGTGTCCTACAAGATGGTGCATTGCAACAACTCGCCAAGGCCCTTCGGACAGCACCTTCCAAACCCAGAACCTCAACCACCTAGAAAGTCCAGGGCAGGAGATGGATGGAAACACCACCACCTGAAAGTTTCCCTCCATGTCATGCTCTGTCCTGATGGAAATATATAATCATTCCTTCAATATTGTTGGGATAATATTCTTTATTAATGTTTTTGAAATGGTAAATTTAATTTCCATGGAGACTGTCAGAATGTGAGCTTGATTGGTAAGATCCTAATGTTCCACTGTAGTTGACCACCAAGGCATATTCTTCCAACAGTATATTATATTGGTAAATTGTTAGTGTTTTTTTAGAAAGGTGCCATTTTGTCTAAAATTGTCTGTTGATTAAAGCGTTCCAAATAACCATAACATCTTACAGGACATTGAATTTATCAGAACAGTAACGTATAGCATGGCATAATATTGTACTGAAACAAACTTCATGACAGGATGTTGGCCCATGATATAAAAGGTTTCAGAACATCTGACAGGTGTGTCTAGTCTCAGTAAACATTGGACAGTAATACGAGGCCTCAAAGATTATTGGATAATGATATTTGTCCTCACAGTAAATTTAACCTGAGAATTGAACAACAAGGTCTCAAATATTGAAGTAGAATCTCACAAAATGTTGGATAGTTACATTGTTAAAGTGATGTTAGATACAGATCCCATTTGAAATGTATTGGCCTGGAGGTCATCTCAGGATCATATTTCCAGGACAGTTTCACATTTTTAAAGTGCTATCTGGGAGATGGGCAGGACAGGGAACTCTCTTGCTGTCAATCAACAGCCCATTAACATCATTTAGGGGCATGTTAGGGTGCTCACCAATGTGATTTCCAAAGTTTATTTCAGCAATCAGTCTGGTGTCTAGGTTTGGCACAGGGCCAGAGAAAAGTTCATCTTGTGATTGGTAAGGTTGTGCGGCCTTTGCGTGACCTGTGCAGAAATGTCAACATTACCTTGGTTTCACCGGGTCACCCTTTTAAGCAATCATTAATTCTTCATAGCCTTGTCATGAATTGCTTGCTCCATTCTGCAAGGCAGCAGCAGGTCTTCCTTTGCTGCTAAGACCAGGGATGTAATTCCTGCCTTCCAGAAGCACCTGGTGCCAATAATTGGGTGTTCAGCTTGCCTCCATTCAGGTGATAAATTTTCAACTAGGACACTTTTATTTAGAATTAGCTGCAGAACAGTGGTGGGATCTTATATTCATTCCAATATTAAGCAGAAAAAAACAAAGAACTGCAGATGTTGGAAGTCAGAAACAAAAAGAAAAGTTGCTGGAAAAACCCTTCTTCTGACCTGCTGAGTTTTTCTAGCAATTTATATATTTTTTTCCATTCTGGTATTTTTTCCCTGACTTTATTTTGAAGATTTGACCCATAGTTTCAAGGAATATTGAATAGTCATTATAGAACTGCATGGAGAATAGATAATACTATAGAGCCACACTGGATATTAGATAGCAATATATGACCAGATGAGAATGTTATGTAGGCACATACAAGACTTCATAAGGTATTGGACAATGATCTGGGCCTTGATAAGATAGTAATTTGAGTAATTGTTTCAGTAGTGGTGCAATTGGTAACACTTTTGCCTTGTACCCATAGATTCTGGGCTTGACTCCCACTTGAGCACAAATCAGAAAACTAAAATTCCAGTGCAGGTATTCTGCACTGTAGGAAGTGCTTTCTTTTTAGATGTGATGTTATACTGATGCCGCATTAGCCTGCTTTGGTGGATTCAAAGAAATCTGCAGCAGTATTTTACAGAAGTTGCAGTAGAATTATCTGGTTTCCGGGTCAAAATTTAATCCCCCAATTACCATCACGAAAACAGATTACCTCATTGTTATCACAGTGCAATATTCCCCACAATGCAACAGTAATGCCACAACAAAAAGTACTTCATTGATGGCAAAACACTTTGAGAGGTCCATTTTTGAATGCAAGTCTTTCTGCTGTCACTTAAGAAGATAATGCATCACAGCTCACCAGACAATGACTTTGAACTTTGCAGGAACTAGCTTATTTGATTTGTGCATGCAGCATATTAATCGTAGAAAACACAGGCAGTTAATCCATATAGAAAAGAAATTGTCCCAATTTGTATTAGAATGGACAGATTCAAAATCGGCATCTACAATAATTAGGTAACCCAGGCTTGACTTATTAGGTAAAATAGTGTCACAAAATTAAACATGGGGCTCTTGTGATGAAGTGGTCACATCTCCAAGTTCAAGTCCAGTTTGTTCCAGTGGTGTGTGGTAACCTCTCTAAACAAGTTGATTAGAACATATTTATTCACACAAATAAACAGTAGTGAAGTGGCATTGTCCCTACCTATGAGGCAGCAAAACCAGATTCAAATCCCACCTATTCCAGAGATGTATCATTATATCCCTGAACAGGTTGGTTAAAAATACATCCCAAAATTAAACAAGGTGATGGAATGTTAACATATTTTGAACTAATTATTACTCTATAATTGCCAAGGACAATACTGATTACTTAAGTCTGATTTTTCTAATGGTCCCATTTTCAGTTTTGTGAAATGGTATCTACACCTGGAATCTACAGATGGGCTGGGCCAATCATAGATGTCTTACTTGACTATGTTGGAAATGTGAATCTCTGCAGTAAACTGAAGGAACATCTCGACAGTTATGATGAATGGGCAACTATCAAGATAAAATCAGGCAAGTTCTCACAAATAAAGTCAAAACCTCTCGGAATTATTTAATTGTGCTCCTATAGCTTTCAGTGGAAACTATGTAAAATTGTGTTATAGTTATATTTATTTCTTTGTTTTTATTAAGTAATCAAATAGTTTAGTGAATATGGAAGTGATGGCCTTCCACAATAGAATAAAATCTTGCCCACTGTGTATCTTGTAGTTGACTCCCAATTGGCAGAAATGCTTTTCCAGTTGAAGGGATTGAAAAACAAAGTAATAAATTGGCCAAAGGTACTACCTGTTTTAACATGTAGACAACATCACAAACCACATTCCTGTCAACTGTCAATGAATTCTGCAAGGTGCAAAGGACAGCATATCAGTGAAAATAGAAGGTGGTGCTGGGGAAGGTGGTGGCCAAGGATAAATCACTTCCTGACCTCATTACAGCCTTCAAACATGGACAAAAGAGTTGAATTCCAGAGGTGACAGGAGAGAGATAACCTTTGATGTCAAAACCACATTCGCAGAGTGTCTTGATAAGGAGCCCCATCAAAACTGTTATCAACGCAGCCATCTCCAGCTGCTTCATCAATGACCTTCCCTCCATCATAAGGTCAGAAGTGAGGATGTTCACTGATGTCTGCATTATGTTCAGCACCATTCGCAACTCCTCAGATACTGAAGCAGTCTATGTCAAAATGCAACAAGATCATGACAACATCCAGGCTTGGGCTGACAAGTGGCAAGTAACATTCTTACCATGCAAATGCCAGGCTATGACCATCACCAATAAGGGACAATCTAACCACCATCCCTTGACATTCAATGGTGTTACCATCACTGAATCTCCCACTATCAACATCCTGGGCGTTATCATTGACCAGAAACTCGACTGGACTCACCACTTAAAGACAGTGGTTACAAGAGCAGGTCAGAGGCTAGAAATACTGTGGCGAGTAACACATCTCCTGACTTCTCAGAGCCAGTCCACCATCTATAACGCACTGTGGAACTTGTCTGGATGAGTGCGGCTCCAACAACACTCAAGAAGTTTGACACTATCTCGGACAAAGCAGTCCGCTTGATTGGCACTTTCTCCACAAGCATTCACCCCCTCCACCATTGATACTCAGTAGCAGTAATATGTGCTACCTACAAGATGCACTGCAGAAATTCACCAAAGATCCTCAGATAGCATCTTCCAAATCCACAACCACTTCCAACTAGAAGATGGGAACACCACCACCTGTAAGTTCCCCTCCAAGCCACTCACCATCCTGACATAGAAATATATCGCCGTTCCTTCACTGTCACTGGGTAAAAATACTGGAATTCCCTCCCAAATGGCATTTTGGGTCAAAACACAGCAGGTGGACTGCAGTGATTCAAGAAGACAGCTTCACCATCGCCTTCTCAAGGGCAACTAGGGTTGGGCAATTCATGCTGGCGAGTTAGCTATGCCCACATCCCACAAATGAATTTTAAAAATCCAATGAGAGATAACCTAACCATTGCCCCTTGATATTCAACGGTGTTATTATATTGAATCCTCCAATATACTGGGGTTTACCATTGACCAGAAACTGAACTGGATCAGCCATACAAATTAAATAGCTACTAGGGCAGATCAAGGCTAGGAATCCTGCCATACCCTGACTCCCTAAAGCTTGTCAACAAGGAGTGTAATGGAAGACTCCCACTTGCCTGGACAAGAACAGCTTCAACATTAATCAAGATGCTTGACACCATCCAGGAGAAGGCAACCTACTTGATTAGCACCACATCTACAAATATTCATTCACTCCATCATCAATGCTCAGTAGCAGCAATATGTACTAGCTACAAGGTGCACTGCAGAAATTCACAAGACATGACAGCACCATCCAAACCCATGACCATGACCATTGAGAAGAACAAGGGCAGTCAATAGATGGGAACACCATCACCTGCAAATCACTCACTATCCTGACTTGGAAATTTATTGCTGTTCATTCAGTGTCATCAGGTCAAAATCCTAGAATTCGTTTGTTAACAGCATTACGGATCTATCTACAGAACAAGGATTGCAGCAGTTCAAGAAGGTAGCTCACCACCACCTTCTTAGAGGGCAACTACGGATGGACAATTAAATGATGGCCCAGCCAGTGATGCCCACATCCCATGAATTCATGAAGAAAAAATCAGGGGATTCCAGAGGTTGCACTTCAGGAATAGGAGGAAAGTCCATTTACCCATTTGACAAATACAAGTGGAACCAGATGAGAGTAGTTCCAATCAGCTAAGTGACAGTGGAGTAGGAAGTTTGTATGAATAACTATGTCAAAGGCTGTTGACAAGTTAAGAAGGACATGTGGATAGATTACCTTGGTCACGGCTGCATAAATAGTCATCTGTGACTTTGATCAGAGAAAGTTTGGTACTTTGTCGGGGAAGATGCTCTTTTTGGAAGAATTCCTTTGTGCAGTTCTCAGATTGGGAAGTGACAACACTTTCATGGACTTTGGAGAAGAAGAGAGTTTGGAAGTGGAATGTTAATTTGCGCGGATGGTGGGACTGAGGGTTGAATATTTTTTAAGGGATGGTGATCCCAAATTTAAATGGGACAGGGACAAAGCTGGTTTTTACTGTAAAATTCAGTTGCTATTTTAATGTTTATTTATTTCCCCATAATGCAGCTTTACAAGTCATCACCTAAATATTGGTGAGCTAACATACTGGAGGAGAACAGCCAGTAAAACAGATGATTTCAAAACAATATCTAACAACCTGTTGTGAAAGTGAGACCCTGCACTAACCAAAACGATTACTCATTCATTCAGTCATGTCTTTCATAAATACCAGAATAAATCCTGATGGAAAAAACCATAACCAGAATTGAGAGGTGACTTGTACATAAAACAGGTCAATAAGATAATTAGAATATAATCTGCTAATGGCAGAAAAACTTGTTCAGTGTCACAGCGAGAACAAAAAGCAAGAGTAACAATCTCTTGGTAGACCTGGTTATCGTGAAAAACTGAATTGGTTGCATTTATTAGCATGTTCAAACTAACTAGTAAAATAAACTACACATTGCTAAAATGTCAGTCATTCTGCAGAACAACTGTTGCTCCATGTCTATGTGACTTTTTGTTGTGATATTTTACATGCTGTTAGATATCTGGAAATCGCTGTATTTAGTGGGGATTTTAAGTATGAAATGTTATTTATAATTAATTTATTCAAAGTAATAATTTTCCAAGGCCTGCCTTTTTATGCCAAATAAGGCATAATATATAGGCAGACAAACACTTAACGTGCTTGCCTAATGTTCTTTTCTGTCATTTTAGTATGTGTTAGCCTATTGATTTTAATCTTTGCTTAAAATTTGAGAAAGGAGACAAAGAGCTATTGATCATAACTCTTTTGTTACAACAGTCATTGTTTCTTGTTTCCATTGCTTATTATATTTCCTTTCAATTTTATATAGAACTTCCAAGACCTCTTGTCCATCTTTGCAGAATTAAAGTTCGAAAGCTTTTGGGACATCAGAGATTAAAATTTATTGAAATGTTGCCTCTACCTGGCAGACTGAAAAGATACTTGGAGTACAACTGTGCAGATGAATTGATGTAAATTTAACTTTTGATAGAAACCACACAGAAACTACAAGACAAGCATTTGCACATTACAGATTGCAGGAAAGGAGGTCAGTCCAAAAGTGGCAACTGCAAATGATTTATCATATACCAAAAGAAGTATGTTTTGTGCGATTGCAAGCACTGAATTAACCGATGCACAAATTAATTGTGGACAGATTTCAAGTGGCCGAAATAAAATGGGTAAGCACCAGAAGGTTGGAAAATAAGTCAGGGACTTTGGATTTTATTAGTTCCGAGAATAGGAACCAAAATTAGGTGTATTGAAGAGAAGAATTTTGGAGATGCACAGCATATTAGTCAACATCAAAATGTATACGCATCCTAATGAGAAGTCCCACTGGACATATAAGCTTCTTTCTCCTGTTTCACATGCTGCCTACCTACTCCGTATTTCCGGCATTTTGTGTTTTCAATTTAGATTTCTAGCCTCATAGCTTTTTATTTTCATTACTTACAATTCAGCATTTTGACATGTACATAAAACTGTAAAGAATGTACCAAAGCATAACCTGTCGCATCAACATGTAAGATAAAGATGTTTTAAATTTTAAACATTTTTTAAAATTCCTTTTCCAGAAAGGAATAGCAAAGACACTGATTGTTCAGTTTTTATGCAGCTCAGGCAAAATTTGTGAATGAAACTTGCTTCAGTTTGCACCTTGCTTTGAAAACATACTCTAGCCATGATAAAACACAAAGCCATTTCTAGTCAAATTGTTGATAGAAATTTGACACCTTATTTAATTTTTATGCTTTATTTAAAATAGTAAACATTAAGCTATAAGATGCTAACCAACAGCAAAATATTACTAAATACCTTGGGTTGCTTGATGAATGTCATTTGTTGCATGGAACATCACAGCAGCCGAAGAGAAGTTGTGTTTTCAATTGCACTGATAGCACCATAGTTGTTGCTATACCTTCAAAAATATTCAACTCTTAAGGTTAAGTGCACCATTATAGGATTGAGCCATATAGACCAAGCAAATCCTAATTGTATGTCATGGCATGTACTGAGTTACCTGATCTTATCCAAGACAGCAGTTAGTGCATAGGAATAGGCCATTTAGCCTATTTCATTGTTCAGTTAGGTAATGGGTGATTTTATTTTACCTCAACTCAGTTTACTCATATCCCATGGACTACTTAATGAACAAAAGTCTATTGAATTCAGTCTCGAAAATTTCAATTGATCCAGCAAGATTTATAATATCTTCTATGTAAAAAAAGTACTTCCAGATTTCACTCCTAAATGACCTGGCTTTAACTTTAATATTATGACTTCTTCTCCCAAGCTATCCACCAGAAGAAGTCATTTCCCTAAATGTGCACCTGTCAAATTCCTTTCTAATTTTAAACACCAAAGAATACTACAGAAAGACTCTGCAATCTTGGGTTAGAAAAATGGGGAAACAACCACATTTTCACTTCTGATTGTCATCACTCGTGTCAGAAAGTGAATGCATGCCAACATCACATTGGTCAGGGTGAAACAAAGCACTCAAATATCATGCCACCTCTCACACATGACTAAAGCTTGTATGAGTAACATATTAAAAAAAAAACTGCCAATATATATAGCATTAGAGATGGAACAAAATTGGGAAATGAAGTGTCTAATGGGAATGATGGAAACCTTGGTTTATCTCTACCAGGTGGCTTGCAGTTCAGAGTTTTTATATATGGTATTTGATGCAATATAGTACCAGCTTCAGGAATTACATTGCATTTATCAGATAATTCTATTCTTTCGATCGCATTGTAAACTCAAATCCTGTTAACGTTGACATTGACAAATTCAGGATTTTAATGCAGTACACCTCTAACAGAACCTGATCAGTCTTATTCAGTTCATTTAATTGGTGACTCAAACCAAGATTTTCATCTTCTTCCATTTCAAAGATTGAACAGGGTTGGAGTAAGAGCAGAGGAAGGGTGGCATCATGGTGTGAATGTTGTGATTTGCTTTTCTAGTGATGGAAGTTCATTGAAAACCTTAACCTGGATGATTAATGTCTATATATCATGATCAGAACAGGAGTAAAATAATGGACATTTGTTTTTATGAAATTACTGAGAGTCCTGTTTATATCTCTGTAATTTCTAGATAAGCTATTCAAATATTGGCTTGTTTGGATCAACATGATACTGATTGTAGCATCCTTCATTTTCTTTGATTGTATTCAACCCTGAGATCCACTGATCAACAGGCATTACTTTAAAACAGTGTCTGGAACTGCAAGAATATCACTGAACTGTAGTTTTTTGAAGTATATTGCAATGGAATGTTTCTATTAACTTTTTGTACTTTAAATTTAATTTAAATATAGTTTCTGACAGTTATGCAAATAAAAATGTGTATTTAGACTGGATTTTGCAATTTGCTGACCTTGAAAATTAGTCACCACGCTAAATGTGTAAATCATGTAGGATTCGGTCAGAAACACAAAAACATTTTAGCGTGAAGTCGCTGGGTGGCGCCATTGCTACTGTTGTATTCAGAAATCAGAGTTTAAAGTTAGTGACAGCCAGGAACATTTTCCCCTTTCTGAGCATAATTCAAACTGGAATTGAGCCAATGAGGCCTCAAAGTGCTTGGATGGAGTGGCATAAATGGTGAGAAATAAGGTTGTTGACTGCAGGATAAATAGAACTTACCTCATTTGACCTGTATGCCTTCACAGTTATTGATTTAAATTGTTTTGTTTGGAGACAGAACTATCTCGATCATTTCACTTCTTGCCAATGACTGACAGCACAGATGGGGGCAAGGTTATTTGCAACAGGACCTTCAAACTTCTAACGAAAAAAAAAATGTTGATTGTTATGAATAAAGTTTGGGATATTTCTAGAAATACAGCAGTGAATGGCTGAGCATATAAAGAAATATGACATTGTAAAACCAGCTGTGTAGAGCCACAGGAAGGTTTAGGGAGGGGCAACATATACTAACTTAAAGAGGAAGATAACATGTTGGAACAGACATTATTGTCTGAATTAAGTAGATTAAACGGAAGTGGACATATTAGAAATAAACTCTGGCTCAGAGTTCTAGGTTAACTTGCATTCAGTAGGTGTGTGCCCCAAATTCCCCTCCCCCACTAATTGTATGCGTATGGAAGACAATAAAAGCCTCTAATCGCAAAGGACTAATCATATTAGTGGCTGGTATAAAAGATAGCTGCAGCCATGGAGGAGCGTGTCAGACTTTTAATTAGTCTGAGAATCCTTCTCTTCTATTCTCCAAAAGTGCAGGATTTCAGGAAGTGCCCTAGAAAAGGAAGGAATCAGTTACACAGTTATCAGTTATAACCTATTATCTATAAAGCTGTTACAGGCATCATTTTTACTTGTAAACTTGCCAAGGCAGTAACATGAAACAAGTTATGTAACAAACTGTTTCACCATCATTTACACCATATTATTCAAATATATCCTTTTTATTTCATAAAATGATTGCTTCCATTACATTTAACTACAGTATATAAGTTTAACTTGCAGACATGTACACAATAAAACTATGTGAAATTATTTTTTGAACCAGGGAATCAAATTCTGTTTTACATAACTTTATACATGAGTGGTTAAAGTGTTGTGACATTTTCAGAGGATCCAATTTGCCTACTGTTTCACAGGTTTTCTCAATGCTGCTGCGAAACCCACAAACCATTTATCCTGTTACCATTGATATATTTTTAGTGAGCTACTTTGTTTGATACCTGTGTGCCAGGCTGCCTGCTGGTATGGTTATTAATGGGTGTTTCAATGTATTTTTTGTTCAGTTCAACTAACTGGTTTAATACTTATCCTAAGTTCTTTATTTAATTGAGTTTATGTTGCTTTGGAAAATACAGAGGTTGTGAAAAGTGCTATTTAAATGCAAGTTTTGTTTACTTCTATTGTCACATGTTTGGTAATAAATAGATTAGCTTTGACATGAGTTAGAGTATAATTCTCAGGTTTTAAAGCTCCAGTAAGGTGTCACACTGAATTTGAAGACCTTTTCTTTAAGAATGTGTTTTCATTACAAACTTAGTGTAGGTGCAAGGCAATTCCCTGTCCAAACATACATGGTGTGTCCAATCAAATAATTGTGATACTTTATTCTCCACATCAGAGTATTTCAATTAGATCATTGTCATAGAGTATCACAGCATGGAAAGAGGCCTTTTAGCCCATTGAGTCTGTGCTGGTCATCAAGCAGCTATCTACCATGCTCCCATTTTACTACATTTGACCTTGTATGCTATGGCGCTTCAAGTGATCATTTAAATACTTCTTAAATGTTGTGATGGTTCCTGCCTCTACCACCCTTTCAGGCAGTGAGTTCCAGATACCCACCACCCTCTGGAGGAAAAGCTCCTTCCTTAAATCCTCTCTAAGCTTCCCTGCCTTTACCTTAACATGCTTCTCTAACTTTGGCTACACTTACTAAATAACACCAGCATCCATCCAAAACAAAATCATCTCTCATCAACACCTCAGCTCTTAGCATAGAGTCATCCGAATTCACTTCCATGCTTTGAACTCTTGACACATCCTTGCCAAACATGAGGATAGAAAGGCTTGAACAATGACCTGTCCCTGCCTGTAACTTCAGCTACTGACCTCAGAAAAAGCTGCAGCCCTTCTGTTTCACTAGTGGCCTGTACACTTGCCATTTGTGGATGTCTGAAAATCAGATTTTCACTGGTCACTGCTGGCCAGGAACCTGTGCAACCAGGAAATTGGGCACCATGTGATGAACATTCAGTGGAAACTCCTCTTCCTGACCAGAGGGGTATGGGCTAGCTTTTATGAGTGAACCCACTGTGAATCAAACTAATGTTGGAGGTGGCATCTGGACATCAGTACAGGAGTGAAATCCTGCAGTCTACTGCATAATTTAATTTTATAGTACTCATATTAATCTATTGTCTGAATGAAAACCACATGGCACTCAGGCAGTCCTGTTTGAAAATATCCATTAAATGTAGCAATGATGTGTGAGCAGAATACTCAAATACGGGAACAAAGATAATGTCAGCTCAGATATGTTTCTTTGAATCCAGTTCGTCTTGCTTTAGTAACAGGGAGGCGTGTGGTTGCACTGTCCAGGACGTATTTTTTTCAAAGGGTGTGGAATGGCCCTCTGGATTTGAAAAGAATGTTCATGAGTTGGAAGGAAGTCGGAAGGTTGGGGGTTAGGAACAGTAATGCCACAGCGGCTGTTTAAGGTAAATTTACATATTGCTGGAGAGTAATGGATTAAGTGCACAACTAAAACTCCAGGCTGACCCGAATGTCACTTGTCAAATTTAGGATTTCAAAAGCCCTATAACAAAGAGGGAAGACTGATTAAGCAAAAACTTTAACTGTACAGTCACCAGCTTTGAACAGTGTGTGATTATAAACAGAACCCCAACAGTTTGCAGTGAAAGTGTATGGAGTCTGTTGAAGTTTTGAGGAAGGTTAACTGGTTTTGAGAAGTTAATAGTGATTTTTTTTTTCACCAAAGATGTTGTGGAGTATTTCTAGCAAGTTATGGCTTAGCTTCTGATTTATAGTATCTGCAGTTCTTTCGGTTTTAATGGTGTATGCTAAAGTCTGCGAGAATTAGGGAGGATTGTTCAATCAAATGTAGTTTAAGTTTGTTAGTTTTAAGAGAGTGTGTTGTTTTAGTGTGGTTCGAAAAAGAAGTGCTGAAGTTCTTGCCTGGCAGATGAAGTACAACATGAAAGATTCCTGTCTGTGACAGGTACACACGATCACCGAGTCTCGGATGGAGTTATTTGTAAATGGAGATTGCAGCATTTGCACAAAGTACTTCACATATGGAGTTCGTAATGAAAAGATACGTCCCTTTTTTAATTCAATAAAATAATACTGTCCATTACATTAACCACGCATCGATATTAAAGACAAGTAACACACGATTAAAGCCACTTCTTGAACCTGGATTTTACACGCTGTTGGACGTCGCTTGGTACAATGCAGCCACATTTCGTTCCCATCTTGTCACACTTCCAGCGGATGCAGCTCACCTGCTGTTCAGCTTTACTCTGTGCTCCAGGAAAAAAGGCCTGAAACACTGCTGCAGGTGTAGCCAGCATATGCGCTGCTCTTCACGGAGCGGCTGTATGTGTGTGTGAGTCGACCTTTTCAAATTCTTTTTTTTGGATTCTTTTGTAACTGCTGTTTTATTCAGTTCGACAGCCTTGTGCAAAGCGCATTACCCCTGCAGAGGTTACTATTTTCCAGGTAACGATTGGAGCAATACCTGTTCGGAGCTGGGGGCAACGTGTATAATAAACAGTGCAGCGTGGTTAAAATTGCCCAGGAATGGCCAAAAGATGGCTAAACAAGCAAAAATACACACGCGTAAATACATATTCACTATCCAAACATATGCTGAAAGATGCGCGCATACACACACACACACCGCCATCCATACACAATGACATAGCCACGCATAAATACACACGCAGTCATACACTTACATACTCACACAAGCAGAAGTACATATACACAGATTCACGCTAAGCACATACAGATACACGCACCAACATACAAACATGTATGCACACAGGAAGTACACAGATATTACAGACACAGCAGATGCACGTACATACAGATAGTAGACCCACAAACTGAAGAACAAATTTAGATTGTACACACGGACACAAAGTACATAGACATACTGCTACATGCTAAGAGACACATACAGGAAGTACACAGATATACAGACACATAAATAGAGATAGAATAGAAACAAATAAGCAGACATTCAGAGACACGGGAAACACGCAGACACAGAAAATACTCGCAGACACGCAATCCCGAAAATCCTGCTCACTCAGTGATGAAGGGAATTGGATAGAGATTGTAAACATTCCTGCATCCCCAGCCTACCACACCTCCCTCCTGTACATTAGAAAGTCTACTCCCGCAGTGAAAATGTGTTGGGACTTACAGTCAAAGAAAGCCATAGGCATTGTACAGGGGAGGAGGGACAGTGGGTTTTGTGGGGATGGGCTTAAAAACGATAGGTTTGTGAATTCTTTGTCCGTTTAAGGAGTCTTTGGAGTAAGCGTGGAGCTCGGCCGGCAGGTTGGCAGCTTTCCTCCAGATGCCCATGTCGGGGCTGGCGGCATGGGGCAGTGCCATGTGGCTCTGGTAGAGACGGTGGTACTGAAGGGGACAGCAGGCACACAGAGTGACGGTACGGGCCAGCGAGGCGAGCTGCAGTCTGAGCGGCTCTCCTCGCTCACAGCGCGGCTCCTGCTTAGCCACCGCCGCCGGCCCGGGGCTAACGCTAGCGGGCGACACGCCTCGCTCTCCTGGCGGCGGCGGCGGCTGCTGCGGCGGCGGCGGCCGTAGCAGCAGCTCCCGGGGCGGTGGCAGGCTTTTACCGGGCCTCGGTTCTTCCCAGAAGGAGGCGGGCAGCTGTCTTTTCCTCATGGGGACCTGGCCGTGCCGGGCTGGCGGGAGAGGGGGCGGTGGCTCCCCGCAGTCAGCGGCTCCTGACGCTCTGAGCTGGAGCACACAAGGTCGGCTCTGCTCATCCGGCGCCCGCTTCGAGCCTGAGTCCAGCAGCCGCCCGGGGTGGCACCGCGGCATCCGCGAGTATTTCTGCGAGAACCGCTTGAGCTGCTTCTGCAGGTATTTCCTGTGGTCCACCGAGCGCCGGCAGGGGGCTGACTTATCCAGCGCCGCCTTAATGTCGCTCGAAGCCAAGTTGACAAAGTTCAGCAGCGTTTTCACCTCGCTGTCCGCCGATGCCATCCTCAATCCTCACTTCAGAACATCAGTCACTGTCTCCATGGCCTACACCGCTGGAAGCTTTCCCCAACCCGTTTCCTCTCGCCTAAGACCGGAAGGAAAAGAAGTGAGATTATTCCACTAATAGCTGATTTTGTTTTTGTATTGCAAAAGCATTTTTTTATTTCGTTAAAAATACATTATGTACATACACAATTACTCAAGCAGTTCTATACAGTCCAACAACATGAACAAACATTGGAATTTGACAGCTGCTACAAACAAAGATTAACTTTTATACAGGTCAAAAATACTGTTATGTACAGAGCAGGTCAAAATATTTTATATACATACATAAGTTACTGAAGTAGTTCTGTGCATTCTTTGAACATGAAGGAACATTGGAATTTGACAGTTGCAAAGAAAAAGACCCAAGGCATTTCTTACTAATACAGGGCAAAAATACTTTATGAAGATACAGTTACTGAAGCAGTTCTGTACACTCTTTGCGCACGAAGAACAAACATTGCAATTATAAACCCCAAGGCATTTCTTACTTAAACAGGACAATCTTTACATATATTTGAGGCACCGAGAGGGTCTGATAACTTAACGGACCCTTGTTATACTTTGGCAGACCTTAACGGTGGTCTTTCACCGTTGTATTGACTGATGGAATATCAACCAGCACTGTTACTTTGGGAAGGGGAGGAGGTGGGAGTCCTACACTTCACTCAGTGTCAGGATGATGGCTAGACACCATCAAACAATGTCAACTCCTCTCCACCACTTCTCACTATTTTATTTATTGAGGGCTACAGGCGATTGTGTTCACAGATGTTCGTCTATTCGTAGTCTCAATGCCAGCAGGTACAGTTTTTTTGTACTGGCACGTGTTACTGTTAAAGAGACATTGCTGTACATTGAGGTGCATTGACCAGCGCAATACAATGATTGCTAGCACACAGGCATCTCCAGAGACGCTCCAGCAGCTTCGTTGGAAACTAAATGCCACCACACAAGATAGAAGGCGAGCTTCACTTCCGCCAGCACTCCGGGTACACATAACCTCTCTATCCTACGCACGGATGCCTGGTTTTACCATGAAATCTTCACTTGCTCATCGTTCCTGTGTTTCTCAAGGTCTCTGTTAAATACATTCCTGGTTGGAATCCGTTCTGCCCCTTACCACAACACAAGCAGAAAGCGCAGCGTGGTTTATATGCACAGTACCTGGACTCTCACTTGGTCAATAGCCCAGCCCCTTGTTTAATCACGTTTACTCACCTTTGAGACCCGCTGGAGAACAAATCTTGAAATTTCGTTCTATTTCCTCACTGGAGTAAGCTGAATGAATATCAACTGCCTGTAGTTAAGGCCCTTCCAGACCAATCAGCAGCTCCTTCTGAACACAATACATCCCAATCAGGCCCCGGGCTGGCTTGTTCCACATTCTTTTGTAACAGAAATTGTTGTTATGGAAACACGAGAGAGAGAAGGCAAAAGCGAGCCAATAAGTACAATAATTATCAATGCAATTTTCCTAATCTCTCCCTCTCCTCTCCCCCCTCATCTCTTGCTATGAAACATGATGTGCGGATAATGTACAAAGAGTCAGGAAAGTTTCTTGGTTAAAAAAAATACTTAAGCTGTCTGGAAACTTGCAACGGGCATGCTTCAGTGCAGCAATACAATGCTGGCTTTGCAAGTCTGCTTTGCCTACTTTTAACTGTTCTGTTCAGGCTTTTTGGGGGGCTGATGTCAGAAGGAGAAGTTGGAGAGAGAGAAAAAAAAAACCTGAAGAGATGTGCAGATATCCATGGATAGGGGGCTTGAGCGCTCAAGAATCTTGTCTTTATGTTTGCCTCCTCAATCGAGACACACAAAAGCTGAATTACCCATTCAAACCGCCCTGACAATGGGATCGAGTTGGATCGCACTCTTGCATTTGTAGTCAAACAGTTAGAGACTTAAATCGAGTCGTCATGATAGAGAAAGAGTTGGACAAAGCCCATAGAATATCCATCAGTAAACATTTTCCTATGTCATATTAGTGGGTCTCCATGGCTTCGCCCCGTCTAGAGACAATAGCACAAGTTTGCACACTCGACTACTGTCACCCTGCCAACGCATGCAACGGCCAAAAAAGGACAATCCATTGGAAACGATGAACTCTGTGGGGAAGGTAGGGCTGGAGTTTTTTTTTGAAAAGCGTGTGAAATGCTAATTGTTCTGCTTCCTTTCTTGATGAACTGGACGTTGCTCAGCATGTCCTTCCCACCTCTCCCTCAAGCAAGGTGGCTCTCCTGACAGGGCCATTGAACGGACATTGACAGCACCTCGCTCACTATGCTGGAGGAGATGGCCTCAGGAGCCTGGTGCAAACTCCTTCCTCACCTGGGGCTCAGGCCTTTGGAAGTTGTCAATGGACTTGCGGTTTATGGACGAACCTTGGTCGGTTAGCTTTAATATACGTGGCTCTAAGTCCAGGGCATTTTAAGTGGCAATGGACATGCATTTCCAAACTATTTACAATAAGGAGGGACATTGAATTTGGCTTTTTTAATATTGCACACTATTTACGATTAAACTGTCACTTCTGCGCATGTTGTCCCATTCAGATGCCTTGTTCTAGTGCCAATGTAAATAAGTGACAGTCGAAAATATTGTATCAGAGAT